ATTACCATGGTTCACTCTCCCTGGGTCGGCACCCCCAAACGGTCCAGACCCTCGGTGCCAGAACCCTGGATGCCGAGGCTGCGTCCACCCACATTGGGAAGCTCCCTCGCCTGCCAGGGCCTCGGGTGCCTGCCAGCAGAGAGGGCCTCACTTCTCCAGGTCTCCTATCTGTGCGTCTGCGCGCCGGCAGGGAGAGGACCACCGGGCCTCTGTCTTCACGTGCTCCAGACGAGCATGGACGGCACACGCGGACATGTTCAGAGCGTCCCGACTGGCCATGTGCCCCTGCCCAATGCGGCATGCCTGGCCGGGTCCGAGGCCCACAGTGGGGAGGCCGGCGGCCCATGCTGGCCTGAGACGACACGTGCCAGCGACGGCGCTGGGGCCACGTCCTCACATCCGGTCGTCGATATGAATATTTCAGTCGTCCGGAATCAGCGAATCGTAATGCGCTGACCGGGCCGACAGCTACTGCTGTAACTCCCAGAGCTGGGGGGCGTTCAGACGCTTCTGAGTTCCATCTGCCGGGGACCCCACCCTGTCATCATGAGCCTGTCCCCACGCTGGCTGATGCTGGGACGCTCTGCCAAGCAACTGCTCCTAGGGAAGCAACTGCCGCTCCATCAGACAATGGGTTAGGAGTCAGGGCCCCTTCCGCCTGGGCAAGCTCATTTGTCAACCCAGCCCCGTGCACAGTGGGCCACTGCCCAGGAGACAGGCCTCCCACTGCGGGTGGCACAGTGCAGGCTATCTACATGGACACTTATAGGGGTGTCACCCCCAGGAAGTGTGCCGTGTCCCCTAAGTGAGCCACAACAACAAACCATGCTGAGCTGTAAAGAAACAAAACAAGTGTCCCCTGTCATCTGGATGAGTCACGGCGGTTTCAACTGAAAGTTAAACTGCAAATGGAGAGCCCCAGAGACCTCACCATGATGGCAGGCAGCCCGAGTCGGGGACACTGCACCTTACGGAGGCACATGTGCCAAACAGGAGCGGGCGGCCTTTCCCTTGGTGAGGACTCCCTCCAGGGCCTTGCAGAGGGGAGTGGACGGGAGGGAGCAGAAGGGCTGGTTTGGAGAAAGTGGCTCAGACGCCCTGCTGTCGTCCTGTGGGAAGACCCCTGGGCCCTCGCTCTGCTCCTGGGCCCCCAACAGCACTGCGCCTGGGCCCTCCTCTCGAACCCTCTCCTGCCTTGTGGTGCCTCTTTCCTTCCCCCCACTGCATGCTCCGACCTCCTCCCCCCTGCAAGGTGGCAGCTTCTTCTCCCTCCTCCTCCTCCTTCTTCTCCAAAACCAGGCCCCAGGGAGCTGACTCCTCCCCTGCCACCCCGGCTCCCTGGCATGCGCTGGCTGGCATCTCGGCGCGACAGCCGGCTGCAGAGTCCACACCTTCTGCAACGACTCAGAGCATTTCGCAAGTTTAGGGGGACGCTCAGAAAGAAACGAGGTGCAGGGTGGGGACGATGACATTGCTGCGTGATGGTCAGAGCCCCCAGAAATGGCACGTGCACTGAAAGGCGGACGGGAGATCCGCACACCCCTCGTTACTCAGCAAGCGCCTGCGCAGCACCCGCTCCGTCCAGGGGATGGCACTGTGCGGTGGTTAGGGGGCGGCAGGACTCGGTCTGCGTCCCGAAGGCCTCCTGCACATCCTGGGGAAAGTGTGAGAACCGCAGCCGCTGGGCAGACGCGAACCCCTCATCGTTTGCCTCCTACTCCATTTAAGAAACGTGCAGAAATGGGAGCAACCGACCTGGGGTGCAGTGTCTGTTCTTTCTTTCAATGCAGTGTCAAAACGAGCACCCTCGTGGAGCCTCAAGTGTTGGCCCTCGCTCCTCGCAGCGTCAGGCTCGTGGGAGCAGTGGCGGCCGCCTCTGCGCTGTGACCCGCAGCTCGCCCTCAGAGGCCTCCTGCTCGGCAGAGACGCCACTGAAGTGAGATTCCAGAACAGCCACTTAGGGAAAGCTGCCCAGTTGATGACCTGCCTTAAGAAAACCCACTGAGGGAAATGTTACTTACAAAAAGAAATGTAATGATTGATTTTAGAGAGAGAGGAAGGAAGGAGGGAAATCGAGGGAAACAGAGAAACGTCCATCTGTTGTCCCACCCACTGCCACCTTCAGTGTTCGCTTCCTGCATGTGCCCTGCCTGGGGATCGAACCCACAGCCTGGCATAATGGGATGATGCTCTGGCCAACTGAGCTCCCAGCCAGGGCCATGAGGACGATAGTACTTTGAACGACAAGGGAAATAAGAGAAGTGGCAGGATAGACCACAGAACTTTGGAGACAGGGACTGTCGCGTGCGCTCACCACAGTGCGGTGTCGCCGCCGTGGCCAGTGTCTCCGGGCTCTGCGTCCGTCCGTCTGACAGGGTGCGACCTGCCCCCGGTCCCCCACGCCTCCCTCTGCGGAGGTGGGAGGACTCGCTGTCCTGTCGATGGCGGCATCACAGGCCAGGGTTAGAGGTAATGAAACTGCTCAACTGCGTTCTCAAAATAAAAAAGGCTCAACAAACTACAGATTTGAAGTGGAAAGTTTTAAACGACCCTCCCACTGATCTATGAAGCGCCTTTCCCACTAAATGGAACACTCCAGCTCTGAGAGGCTGCGACTCTTTATGGAGTTACATTTGTTTTCAGACTTTCGGAAATGTGTCGTGCACCTTTTGCGGCCAGTGACTTGAATGTTCATCTTAAAAATCCCTTCTGTTGACTCAGGCTCTCCCTGCCCTTTTCCCAAAAGGGTTTAGTCTGTCTCTACGTTTAAACAGCCGTCCGTGCTCACCCACCATTTCCAGCAAGGGTGCAGCACTCAGCTCGGAGACACCTCCCACTGTGAAGGACCTGCACGGCTGGGCTCGGGAGAGACCGGCGTGCAAGCACGAGCCCCGTGAGCCCCGGGAGCACGGCGCCAGGCCCAGGAGAGACCAGGAGTGACAGGAGGGGGGGAGCCGTGAGGGTGGGCCAGCACCTGAGGCTCACTGTCCCCGGGGGATAGTGGGCCTCGTGAGGCTAGAAGCCCGACTCAACCATCTCAACTCCTGGTGGGAAGATGCCCCACACGTGACCGGCACATCAGCAGAACGTGTGCCTGAAAGAGAAGCAGAAGGCGACAGAGAGAGACCAAGGGGAGCGAGAAAATGGGGTTGCTGGACACAGACTTCAAAATAAACACGCACATTGTACTCAAAGAACTAAAAGGCTAACGACTTTGGCTGAGACCGGAAATGATGTTTAAAAAGTCCAGATGGAATTAGGAGAACTCGAAAATGCAACGGGTGACATTTAAAAACTCAGGCTGCATGTTGACCCTCAGAAGAACAGACGTATAGAGAGCGAAGGTGAAATAGAAACAGGATCTGCAGAGAAAACTCCCAGAATGAACACTGGAGACGCGCAGGACGGTCGTGTTTGGAGGTGGCGTGCGGAGGTAACCCAGGAAACTGAAGCCCCGGAGGTCGCAGGCGGGTCAGACACAGGAAGGCCTGTGCCCCGCGGCCAGCTAACACCGCCCTGCACCCGGCACAGCCATGGAGCGCAGAACTCCGCCTGCAGAACTCGTGGAAACCGAGGAGGAGAGCGCTCTGGCAGCGCCTGCCTGGGCGGGGGGCACCGGCATCCCTCCCCAGGCCACGCCCCGTGCCCCGACAGCCACGCCCGCCCGCTCCACACTCTCCCGTGGCACCACCGGATGCACAGAACTCAGGCCTGACCACTCCAACCAGCCCGCTCAGGGCTTCCCTGACCGACACACCTGTGTGGAACTGCAAGGTCAACATAAAAAACATGAGTAGAATCACAAAACACGTGCCTTTCCAACACTTTGTGACTGTGGAATCAGCACGGAGGTCAGCTCCCTGGAGGCGGAATCGCCAGCCCTGCCCGCCAGCAGGGGCCTCCGGGCTGTGCCTTAGTAATTAACTGATGAAAAGTGTTCCTGATAAACTCACTTTTTTTCAACGTTTAAATTCAATTACAAGGTATTTTTTAAGGAAACAGCAACCCGTCCGTGCTTGATGGAATCGAACCTCCTTTTATACACTTACACATAAACACACGACTATACTAACAGTCTCGAATTTCAGAGGTGGCCTTGAAACCCAGTAATGACAACGAGCAGCAAGCCCCCGACTTCAGGGGGGACGGCAGTGACTGGACACCACCGCGACCCTCCAGACCCATGCTGTATTTGGAGGTCGCAGAGCAGACCCTTGCGTCTAACTCGCCTCGCTGACGCGCCCCACAGGACACTCTTAAAGCCGGGCTACCGCGGTGACAGCAGACTCGGACTTGCTCGCGTCAGCAGCAGAGATCGACACCCCCCTTCCCCCACCCCCTCAAGGATCTCAAAGTGCCAAGGAGCTATAGCCCTGGAATCTACGACTCCATGTTAAATTTCTATTGTTCTTCATTTTAATCTGCAGAGCGAGTACCCGTGGCCCATCGTCTATCTTGCCACCTAAATTTGTGCTTCTGCAACACTTATGCCATAAGCAAACAAATCAGGACATTAAACTTTGGTCTTCGCTTTAAAAGAGGCTAAATCAATGACATTAGTTTGGATGAGAAGTGTTTAAAAACAAACAAAAGTCCTTCCAAGATAAATTATCTGCTAAACAACATCAGACAAAGTCCCTGAGGCACAAAAGCAGTTTCCAAATTGTGCTTCATACCCCAGTCTCTGCCAGTTGGTAAAAACCCCAGGGCCCCAGGGCACACCCCACGTTAAGTACAGCCATCAGGAGGACGCCTGGGACAGGGGAACACAAGTGACAGGCGCCGCCCATCACCAACTTTGCCCAAGGGCACTGGCGCTGGGCAGGCAGGACGTGTAGCAACCTGCTGGAGACGCCTGTCCCTGCAGCAGGAACCCCCATCCTGCACGGGACTGCAGTCATGTGCCCAATACCAACGCACCCGAACTGCAAGTGGGGAACCCGAGGCAGACAAGAGGACGCAGCAGCGTCAGAAGTTTGGCGTCATCCTCTCACACTGACCTTTTGGCCTTTCCCTCTTCTCTGTGATGCCTCGTGCGGTCCACTGCGGTCCTTGCGGCCTGCCCGCGAGCCTTCCAAGTCACCGTGCCTGGCGGGCCCGTCTTCCACACCTACGACCCAAGCAGACGGGGGATTCGTTAGGACTTTCCACGCACTGAGCACTAACGCACTAACTTAAGCGAGTTGCTGAAGTTCCGAAGTTTCCTTGCGCGCGCTGGCTACACGAAGCCACGGCCTTTTGAACCAGTGCTGCGCGCCCCCCCGCTCTGAGGTCTCCTCGAACTTTCTGTCTATTCCACAGGATTCACCCCACTCAGGGTCAGCAGCCACCGTGGCCGCCAGGTGACAATGTGCCGCTCTGGCACCCCACCTGTCCACCTGACAACCAGAGCACCGCCTGCAGCCCAGGTGCGACCCAAACCCCAGCTCTTCGATTCTTGGGATGACAATCAGGCCCCAGCCCTACTGAGAGGGCAGTTCTGTCTCAGCTCTGGGTGAGTGCGAGTTATTCCAGGAAACGTCTGCAGCGCCCAGTTTCCAGCCTACAGAGGAGAAGTGGTGATTCCACTGCCCGAGAACGTCCGCCCTGGACCGGCATCTGCACGAGACACACACCGTGAAGACTCTCATCGGGTGGTGTGGTCTCGCTAGACGCTGAGCAGTGGAGAGACCCTGAGAACCTACAGTCCAGTGAGAAACGTTCACTTTACACAGATGGGCTCCTTAGTCCCACCCCTCCCTCCCAAAGCAGCCGCCTGCTCTCCGAGGGAGCTACTCTGGAGGAGGACTGAGAACGCCAGCCACCGTCTGTCTGGTCTCAGGCGACAATGCACAGAAGCCGCGGGGACACTTACGTCCCAGACACAGCCACACACTGGGTCGCCTACTGGCACCCTACCTTCAACACCACCCCACGCCCCTGCCGTCCCACTCGCTAAGCAGCAGTCTCTCGTAAGCGGTTCGGTCCACTGCAGGTACAAAGGTGTGGGACTTATAACCCCACAGACAAGGGAGATGTGGGTAAGTGGACACGAGGCAAAAATAATTTGAGCGCCACCAGAAATTAAGTGACTGCTGTGCAGATGTTTCAAATAGAATAGGATGCACTAATAAAAGATACGATTAATCTTGGAGGGCCTGATTTGGAAATTTTAACTCTTCTTTCAAAACTAGGATTCCAGAGAAGAGAAAACAAAAAGCAGAACAATGGTGAAATATTTGCTTGAATTTAAACTAACTGTTATTGGCGACTTGGGCCCTAAAAACGTCCGGTTCTGAGATACCTACAATCCCGCCTACGGGGCTCCCTTGGAGCCCAGACGGACCCCATGCTGACCCTGCTACCCCTCAGCAGGCCTTTCCGTTCACCCTCCCTTCACGTGTCTCCCTGTCCGCAGCTGAAGACCTTGCGTGGCACCGTCTGCAGGGGGCAGTCTGGTCTGAGGTCCCACTGTGCTCAGCTCCTCCTGTGCTCATTTGGACAGAGCGTCCTCTACCCAACCCCTACCTGCGCATCTACCTGTGCTTTACTTCCCACCACGACCCACGGTCACCTTCCGAGAGCCCCTGGCCCCCAGGCAGAAATCTGTTTTTCATCTTTAAGAGCCAAGGTCGGAAGCACCTGTCTGCGTCCAAGTCCTGCTGCGGGCAGAGGCCTGGGAAACTCATTTCCCACACGTCTCCTCCTGCACATCCTGCCTGCGCCCCAGACACAGAGTCAAGACTAGACTAACAGCACAAGTGACAATGAGCCATTTAGGCAATTGATATTTGCTCATACAAAACCCTCTGATGGATCAACTACATAAAGGACCAAAAAGGCTTCTGAAGACTGATTTAGGAATTCACAATGTTAAGGTACAAAAGCAGGTACGAAATGTTATTTTCCCAAAGCGAAGTTCCTTCTGAGCCTTTAAAATCTGAAGGAGGTATTTAGAAACCATGTAGAATGCAGAATCCTAACACTATCAAAAGACACTACTGGAAATCGGGGAACACGCTTGTTACAAGCTCTATACACGCAAAACCCAGTTAATATTCATCTGATAAAATGATGTTCACTCTGTGGACCAAGAACACAAAAACCTAATCCAGATCTTCAACAGATGTGGAGCTTTTCCCTTTAAAACCATTGCAGAGAGCACTGCAATAGGGGTTTTAAAGACGCGTACTAGTTTCAACACGACATAATCTTTGGCCCGGGGGGCCAACCCTTGCCTTGGAATTAATTCCCAGTACCTGAACGTGGACCATCTTGACCATCTCCCGCACCTGCCTGAGCTCCTCCGGGAGGGGAACAGCACCACACCCGCCTTCTCTCCCCTCGGTTACCCCAAAACCATGGATGCAGGTGCAGAGCAAGCATATGGTCAGCGACTGAATGGATAAAAGGAAGGATGAAAGCAACCAGTGCATCAGTTACAACGCCATCCTGAAAGGCTGAATGACCTTCGTCCAGCTGGTAGGACCGCCCACCCTCTGTGATCAGACGGCTGGTCCCGGGGAAAGGGCTGAGAAACGCTCTTCTGAACCCACTCGTGTGAGCTGTGTGAGCTGCCGGACAGTGCAGAAACCACCCTCCCATTTAAAACGACAAAGGGACAGACGCCTACACGTAGACCTGCTCGTGTGGTACAACACCATCGCCCACTTGCTCTCGAAGAAACACTCAAAACGTGCAAACTGCTCTGCCTGGAACCACGTCCGAGTGCCCAGGACTGCACGGGCTTGGCTCTTATCCAACATCTCTAAAATACTCACAACGAACCCACTTTCAAAACGACCTACGTCCTCACCAATTCCACGTGACGTGCCAGACGCATCACCACGTTTCCCAAGCGTTCTCATGGGACAGCAGAGCAGACCTGAAATTCCAAAAGCCACTCTGCCTTGGCATCACGCATCACGGCCACACGAAGATGCACCTCACCATTACCACCACATTTCCACCTGTAATCCCTCCACCAGCGGAATGAAGTCACAACCCCATCAGGCCACCCCCTGCGCCGCGCTGGCCATTCCTCTAAGTGAGCATGGCCACCGTGCCGCTCCCCCTGGGAAGCCCGGGGGCAGCCTCCAGTCCTCCCGCCCCAGAGCGGCAGCGACCACCACGCACCTGGCGCTGGCACAGACTCCATGTGTCCCTCCTTCACGGGGACGGGCGCACAGAGACAGACACCGTGCCATGGTGGAGGAGACACAGCGTGGCATGTACCGCAGGACAGGAGGTGCGCGTGCTGGCCTATCTGCCTAGCAGAACCCACTGCAGGAGTGGTCGGCCGGCAGCCTAACCAGAGCACTGGCAGCAGAGCCGAGCCCTCTGAGTCCCTCGGCACAGGGTAGACGCCCGTAACTGGGAAAACCAGTGAAGGAGGTTCTGATCCAGGTGGCCCATGGCTTTCTGTACTTGGCCATGAAAACCGACACTGGAGTGGTGGGGGGGGGAGGACCAGACCTGCAGTGAGCAGTGCCATGCGGGGTGGAGAGCCCTGTCCACCAAAAACCAAAAAGTGACACCAAGCAGCGTCACGCACTTCCTGCCTTGTGCTGTCAAACATGAGAGCGACCGAGGTCACCACTTCCACGCAAACTTGACGCGGACGTATTTCCTGGCTCAAGGGAGTTCCAGCAACGCTGTTCAGAGCTGGACCTGAGAGCAAGGGGCACTTGTGTCAGGAAGCCCTGCAAGGCCGCCGAGGAGCTGGCCCTGCAGGGTGAGGGTGGGTCCCAGGCCGGGTCCAAGGGCAGGTTCAAGGTGCTGATCTAGAGGAGAGCCTGACAGAGCCCTCTGTACCCCACAAGGCACACTGTGCTTGGTGAGAACCACCTGCTCGTGGACGGAGGGCGTTTTCAAAGGCGAAATACAGACACCCTCATCATGTATCAGGCTTAGCAGCACTGGCAAGCAACCCTGGCTAAGTGGAAGGTCACGGCTCTCCCCAAAACAGAACTCCATTCTTCCCCTCAGACTTCCAGCACAAACACTTCAATTGTGAGTTTTGTGAAAATGTCTTTTTCTCATTGAAAAAGTACTTACATATCCTGATTTTCCCTCCTGGCCCACAAGCCTAAAATGTTTACTGATTTACCATACAAAAAAATTCACTGACCCCTGACAAAGTCCATTAAAAAAGAAAGCTTATTTATTGCTCTGTTGATACGGAACAGCGCTTCTGTAACACAACAAAAAATGCACTTTTTGGTGACCTGACCAAAAACGCAGGCATAACTTTGACTCATTCACACCAGCCGAATACCACTGCGTTGGCTGCTTTCGTTCTTTTATTTGACACTCTGGCAGGGGTGTCCAACCCTCGGCCTCTCTGGCCCACGCTGGAAGAAGAGTTGTCTTGGGCCGCACATTAAATACACAAACACTCAGGAAAACCGATGAGGAGAAAACGCAGCTTTTCAGTGAATTTATGATTTCGTGCCGGGCAGCACTCCCAGCCACCCCCGGGTCGGAGAGGCCAGTGCCCTCAACCAGCCTCATCGCATCTCCACAGTCCCTGCAGCACAGAAGCTGAAAACAGCGGCGTCAAAGCGCAGAAATGGGCGTGGCGTCCCTTTCTGAAGCAGACACCGAGCCAACAGTGTCAACATAACCCCACGTGTGCACTGGGACCTCCTTGCACTGGTGTGTCCGCGCCCACATGCACACCAGACCATCGACAGACACGGTGCCCAGCAGGCAGCCCTCCTCCCTGTGGCGGCCAGGGTGACCTTTACAGCTCGAATCCCATCTGGCTGCTCCCTGTGTAAAAGCCCCAGTGGCTTCTTCCCACAGGTCGAGCCCAACCCGAGCCGCTCCGAGTCTCTGCAGCACGGGGTGCCCCGAGGGTCTGGCTCCTGCTGCCGCTCTGACTTGCACTGCAGCCCCTCCAGCTGTTGCTGTGTCGGCCTCTGCGCCGTTCCTGCCAGCTCCTTCTATCTCAGGGCATCTGCGTCTGCCCCGTCCTCAGGCTGAAGAAGGCGAGGAGAGAGGGACAAGAACATGCTACTCTTTTCAGCAATTTCTGTTAGAGTAAGCATGTATCAGTGTATTTATAAAATTAGAGAACAAAAGTTTAAAAAGAAAAAACACAATTTCAAAGATCACTACTTAAAAATGTCCAGAACGGAAACTTTCTCCCTCCGTCCCCTTCTGTTGATGGCCGTCACTGACTCTCACCTGCCCTGCGGCCTGTCCTGCTCCCGCCTGTCCCAGCCACTGACCGGGGCGACGGGGAGGGAACTGAGACCAGTGAGAGGAACAGGCCTCCGTCCCAGCTGCAGGCACAGCAAGGAGCGCCCAGAGGTCCGCACCCCCACCTTCGCTCCCACCTCCTGCACAGGGCGTGGCTGCTGCTTGGCGGTGGTGATGGGGTGGACTCTGCCAGGGAGGAAGGACACCACCGGGCTGACCACGGGCCGGGCCACTGAACCACAAACGAGGGTTAGGTTTAGACTGACCATGTGCAGGTCTCTTCTGTCCTAAGATGCAATGTTCCCCTGGGACGACAGGGGGCGCTAGGAGACACCTTTCTACTGAGCACAGACCATGTCTGTTTCTGGCTCTGGGTCACCAGGGCTGCTGGCCTGCCACCCACTGTGGCACCCCACACCTCGATCACTGAAACCTGATGTCTCCTGGAAGGCCCAGCGCTGTCCTGCCCCTTTCTACGGGCCCCAGACCTCAGGGAGCCGCAGCCCCCAGGTCAGTCCCACGCACGCCCCGTGCCTGCACCCAGAAGAGCCACACTCTTGCTGGACACCGAGGGGCCCGGCACGCAGCACGCGCCACGCTGCCGGGAACCAGCCTTCCTCCCACTTCCTTTGCATCTGCAGTGACTCCCGAGTGCCCGGAAGCTTCACAAGTGCCCAGGGGCTCACGGGAGTGAGGGCGTGAGCTCTGGGAGCAGAGCGCTCTTCACTGCTGGACGGTTCCACGCAGCCAGTGTTTTCAGTGAGAGTCGCCGCGACTTTAAAGCAAATGCGGCGAAAACACACACTAAGCCTGATGGAACATAAAATACAGTTTGTTGCCAACTCTTTCACATTTTCAGGAAACAAAGACATAAGAATTACGTTTCAGATACACGACATTCTCTTTGAGAGATGAACTTGGGGGGCTCCATTAACCCAAGGGAAAGAGGCAACACGTCTGAACTCATCTGAGCCCCCGCCACACTTCCACCTCAAAAAGGGTTAAACCACTTGACGGGGAGAGAAATGACAGAAAATAAACTGGGCCTTAGCGAAAAACCAGCCCCATCTTGAGGCAAAGGCAGTTGAAGTTCAAGTTTCTGCATTGTGATTGCTGAAATCTATTTGTACTTAAAATCGGAAAGTGCAAGATGTTTTCTAATTTTGCTGCCTTTGCTACAATGACAATTGCAGAGTTCACTGATATGGCTACAATGAAATTACAAGCTAAGTCTAATCGATATTGCTTCAAACAGAACAAAATCAAACAGGCCCATGAACTTACCTAAGGAAAAATGCTAATACTATTTCTTTACAGCTAACGTGCCCAAAGTCTCTTGCAGACAAACCCAACAGTGTATTTCCATTCACCTCTCACCCCTTCCCCCTTCCTGATGGCAGAGCGGCCTGCACCGCCGTCATGTCCCTCCACGACAAGAGTGGCCCCTCCTCAGCAGGGTCCTTTCAAACCCGCCCTCCCCCAGCACGCCCCTGGGCACTGCGGCCGCACTCGGCGGGGACAAGGGGAGGAGCACTCACTCCTGCCCGTCACACACGCTGGCTGACACTCTGGCTCACGCACAGATGGTGAAGGCGCGCAGCAGTGTGTTTGTGACACCACACACTCCACGGGCACCAAGTCGTCTAACTCTGAAGAATGATTTATTGGAAATTGCCAAGCCTGCATTCTTTAAACTTCAAAAGACGAAGACTCGCTTCATTACGAAAATGCCGTAACTCACGTAAAGGACGGACACACCGTTGTCCCCATGGCACAGACCCTCGGGGACTCCAGGCTCTCACCCCGCCCTCCAGCTAAGCCCCCCTTTCTCCGGAGACCCCCGCGCATCAGTCACCTACAGAACTGAGCGCGCCGCCCCCTGGGATTCACCTTCGGAGGCACTGGGCGCTCTGGAAGTGGGGTCTTCTTCCTGCAGGCCTGGGAAGACGCCCACCGAGTCTTTCACTTCACTGTCGTTTCCTTCTGTGGGAGTGGCGCCCCCAGGATGTGCAGGTGGGTGTGTGAGCTCAGGGTCTGTGCAGGGACAGCCACTCCCCTCGGGGCCCGTGCCCTCCTCCGTCCGAACCTCACCCTGTTGGTGACACCCTGAGGTTCCTTTAGCAGCAGGTGGTGTCTCGGGAGCCACGCGGCCCAAAGCTGTGTCCGGCTGGACACTCGCAGGTTCCCCCAGGCGGGCGCTCCGTTTTGCCGTGGAGCCGGCGAGGTCGGGGGACGTGAGGCTCCGGCCGAGGCAGGAGAAATCGGCCATCTCCAAGACACTCGTTCTCTGCCTCTTAGAAAGGCCCGCAGCGCACGCGAACCGAGCAGGGCTGGAAGGGGACCGCTGCCCAGGAGGGAGAGTCTCGGAGCTCCTTTCCCTGAGGTTTTCGGGGGAGAAGTAATCCTCGTACGAGGACGCTGCGTAGTCCCAGGGCTCGACTGCAGGCCAGGCCGTGAGCTGCTGGCGCTTTTCCGCCTGGAACAGCCGCACTCTGGGTGCAGGGGGCTCCCTGCCACACTGCCTTCTCTCCAGGCTCCCTTCCCGGGGTGACTCCCGGTGCTCCGACGGTCTTCCTCTCTTCTCCGAGGAGCCCCCGGGGCCTGGACGTCCCACACGGCAGCCCTTCGGTGCAGGCGGCACAGGAGACAGACTGCGCTTCTCACCACGCATCTTCACCACCTGCGCAGACGGCCCCGCGTGGGGGGCAACTGCCCCTCCTGCAGCGCCTCTCCAGCCACCTCCTTCCTCCTCCGGGACAGGCCGAGTGGGTTTCCGAGGCGTTGACCGGCTGCAGTGCTGGGGGGAGGCGGACGGATGCGCACTGCGTGTTTCCATGGTGCGTCCTCCCCGGCTCCTGTCCTGCTGCCCACAGCCTGAGCCTCCACACAGCTCATCGAAAGAAGACTGCAGGCCGCCAGCCAAGGAGTCGTCTGGAAAACAGTAACGCGGAATCGACTTTGAAAGAGCGGTGTGGAATGTGCACTGCTATCAGTGCGGCAAGGCTGCCCCGGCCACCCCTGGTTCTGGACCACGTGTCCGTGTCACAGACCCGTCCCATCACGCGCCCCTGCATGCACCCCACGCGCCGAGCCGCAGCTGTGGCTCTCTCCCCACCCCGTGTACCAGTGTTTAGACTGCGAGAGGGTTAGTTCACACAAGGTTACGGTATTTTTTTTAATGAGCAATTGATTCTGTGCCAAGAAAGCAAATGCCTGAGAGAAAAACCACAGGAGTCATGTGATTTCTCGTGTCTTAATTTTACTACATTATCTATTTTTTATTACCATACCTAATTTCAGGGTGCAATTCATGAATCCTGGTTTTTAATTAACTACTCCTCTCACCGGATGAACTTCCAAGTAACAAAATCATGAAATTCTTAAACCTTAGATACATCACAGAAAACAACGTACCTGAACACAAAGCGGTGTCACGTGAAATGTCCAGAGACGCTTCCCACGAAGAGTCGTCACAAGGCTCCTCCATCAGCTGGGAAGCTGGAAGAGCAAGCCGCTCCATCAGGCGCGCTCCAGCCCTCGCTCCAGCGCCAGTCGGCAGAACGCCACACCTCCCGCTTCCCGTGCAGACCAGCCCTGGTGTCCACCCAGACACCCCACACAACACCCAGGAAGTCCAACCAGGGTTCACGGCCGATGGTGAGAGCCACAAAAAGCAGTCTGCACGAGCACGTGATGAGAAAGGCTCACACCGCTGGACAAGGCCAGTTGGGAAGCACCGTGGGAAATCAGCTGAAGTCCCACAGAAGCAACACTGCTTCCCGTGGTAGGTGGCCCGGTGCACAGGCCTCGCCCTTGAGGACCAGGTCGGGAATGGGTGGGGGAGGTGGGGATGTGAGCTCCGCTGCTGACAACTAATGAACAGGGAAAGGGGAGAATAAAACCCTTCCCACCACAATCTAGTCACCTGTTTGCATAACGCTCGTTTTACAAGACGTGAGTACTCACAGGTGAGGGAGAGATTCTCCCTCTTCTCCTTCATCTCCTGTAACCTCTTCTCCATGGCAAGGTGATGGCCACGGTGCACCGCGGTGGTGGGGCTGTACACCAGTGACCCACTGGACTCGAACAAGAGCACAGGGACGTCGTCGCCTGAAAGTGGGCAGACGTCCGAAGTCAAGCTCAAGAAACGCCTTCCTGCTCCAACAAATGGATTTCCTGGAGGGAACGTCCCGCCCACCAGTCTTCCTCCTCCCTTGTCATATCACACCTGCTGAGAAACGCCCACGTGCCGGGCACTCACTTGCTAAGCAAGTGTGTCCTTCAACCCCCCAAACCCACAGCATCAGTATGAGTGTCCTCGCGTGTGAGGAAGAAACTGAGACTCAGAACGGTGTGGCCTGAGTCACATGACTAGTGAGAAGGCGAAGCCGTTTGGAAACCTTGCTCCTCAGTGCACCCGAAACACGCCTGTTTGGCACGAGGTCTGTTCTGAGCTGCAGGCAATCTCACCACAGCACGTGCGAGAGGCGCACTCCGACCCCCGTTCTCCTGCAGGAGAAGAGAAGCGCTCCTACCACGAGAGGCCGGGAGTGGAGGCAGAGACAACTCCGTACAAGCAGAGGTGTCAGCAACGGAACTGGTCACGCGTTCTACGTCAGCTACTTTCCACACCCGCTCTGTCCACCCCAGCACCTAAGTACCTGGATTTGCCACTCCCTTGGGTCTTCACCTCCTCATGACGGTGCCCGTGTCCCAAAAACTTACATAATCTGTCTTTTGTTATTGAGCCCCAGTGAAGAAACTAAGGTGCGCTAAAAAAGATACTGTACTGAATGTTTGACACTGACTAAGAGAATACATCTTACAAGCTTCCTCCTCCAGAGCAACAAAAAGGGAAAAAATTGTAACTACGTATGGTCAACAATGCATACAAGTGCACTGGACATTAACAATGTATACCAATACCAACTCATTAAGCTGCACACCCGGAACGACCAATAAACCAACACCGTGTCCCTGGAGCTTGACTGCACGGTCCTTCGAGGCCCACTGTCAAGTCTGCAGGAGACCTGCAGTCTGTTCTCCTCGTCCTAGGCTGGAGCCACCGCAGCCCCTGCACCGTGCCCTCCTGGGTGCCACTGTCACTGGGAAGACTCAACTACACAGATAAGCACAGGACGCAAAGGACCACACCGCTGTCTCTGCTCACCCAGAGTTGTTTTTTGCCTTTGTAGCTCATTAGCCATCTTCTCAAATTTCTTTTGAAGTCTCTTATCATTTTCTGGAGTTTTAGGAGTAAAATCTTTAGGCTGCATACACTTATGCTGTACAAGAAAAAGAACATAAAAATAACACTCAGTGTTGCAGTTATGCAAGACAGAAAGAGAACTGTTTCATGTACATTTTGGATATCTTTTATAACATTAACAAAACCTCCTCAAACAGGCATTTTTTAACAATTATGTGAGTTTATCAACTGTGAAAATGCGAACAGAACTTGAAGAATGAATAAGGGCTGGTTGCACAGGTAGCTCTGTCTTCTGAGGCATCTTCAGTAACCCAGCATTCTTAATTTTCATGGAAATTCTTGAACAAAATCAATCTCCTCATTTTTTGTTACTCTCATGTTATCTCCCTGCCCCACAAAGAAATCATGACGTAGCAATAAAACACAAAATCAATGACGCTAACACTACAAGTGAAATGCCGTGATTTAACCTTGCCTGTCTTTAAATCACAGCAAGCCCATTCAGCCCGTAAAAAGCAAAATCACCACCACAGGTACAAACTGTGACAGAACCGGTGGCCCTCAGAGCCTGAAGCCCTAGACTCAAGTCCCGAAGGAAGCCTTGGGTTAGTTAACTTCCAGGTCTGAGCACCCCAGAAGGAGCACGCCCCCAACACTCCTTCCACGCCAGCCCCCCCAGCTTCTCTGCTGCAGGAGCAGCAGGGCCTAGCCACCAGCCCAAAGCCTGTGCACCCCGCCCTGCAGCTGCTCGCACAGCTGGCTTCCCTGGCCCCCTCCGCCCTGGAGAGAGGCGCCTGCGGGGGAGGCCTCCCCTGGGGTTCAGGCAGCAGCTACCCCGAGCGTCTACAGGGGAAGCACGCACTCTGCACTGAGGCCCCCGTCCAGGGCCCCCTCCATCAGTGAGTTATCACTCACTCATCAACCGGTTAACGAAACGCCAGTAAGCGCCAGGCCCTGGCACCTGTCTTCCCTGAAGGATGACAGTGGATGACACTGTGTGGCGGGCGGGTCCCTTCCAGCAGGCGAGGGACTGGCCGGAAGGGTTCTTACGGAAGCACCTGCAGGCGCTGCAGGTACCTGCAAGCACACCAGGCACTGACTCAACCTGCAGAGTTGCTTTGGAACTGCAAGTCCAAGAGGTGGGGGCTCTGTGTGTCCCACCACGCATGCCGACCCTGCTCATCACCTGTGGGAGCACACGGGTCCCCCTGGGCGCTCCCTGGTCCCCAGGTGCTCACTCCCCAGACTCCGAAGCACTGTTATCTGGGCCCTGCGGACCTTCACTACAGCAAGGGCACCCTGTCTAAACGCCGGCCTCACCACACGTGAGAGCACATGAGAGTAGTAAGCACTGCAGGCGTCGAGGGACAAAGGCCTGTTGGCGGGTCTGCCGATGAACTTTAGTTTGTTCCCGGCCAACATCAGTCTCCTCCATTCCTTGCCAATTACATCAAAACATTTATAGGATAGAAGAATCTCTAACTCACTAAAAAACGCTATGTGACAACCGTATCACCAAAAGTAATACTAAAGACAAGTCTTGAGTCTGTTCCTGAAAGCTTTATCTCTGTAAGAATAAGACAAAACGAACACATTTACAACTGGCGCTGCGCACGCGGAAACGGCTCACTCACCTTCTTTCTCACCAGGCATGGCAGGTGCTCCGGAGGCCTGGCCGCAGGGAACAGCGCCTCGTCCGCGTGCGCCCCCTCCGTCCTGCACCTGCGGGCACGAGGAGTCAGAGTCCCGGATGAGCGCTCCCCGCGTGTGGCTCGCAGTACTGAGTCTGCGCGAGTCGGCTGGGACGGGAAGAGGCCAGGCCAGCACAGGCCACGGGGGGCGGGGACCTGGCTTCCAAAGTGAGCACACACATGACCAACTGCAGTCCTCACTGTGAACTAGACTTTCCAAAGTCTTCTCTACATGGCATTTTCGAGGATAAGAGCGGAAGCGAGAGTACATGGAGGAAGCATTCCTTTTGCACACTACTTCCAGACTTGCGGCACGTGTGAGAATGAGTGTGCGTGGCACTTGCACAGGTGGGGGCGCAGGCTGCCCCTGAGTCACTGAGAGCCAGCAGGGTCTGACGGACATGGAGGGCGGAGAGCTTCCCTCCACAACCAGGCGGTCCTCTAGTTCTTCTGTCCAGACCCCGGCCACCCCAGAGCAGCTGTGCCTCCCCCTCCACAGCCTGTCCGTCACCACAGGACACTGCCACTCTCCACAGCACCCCCTTCCTTCCACGCCCAAAGTGAAAATCCACAGAGACTTCCCACACAGGGCCCTCCCCTGTTCACTCCTACGCAACTGAAATGCTGACCTTGAACACTGGACTCAGCCCTTCCCAGACCGAAACCTCACCACCCCCCCCCACCCCCGTTCACAGAGCAGCCCCACGCACCTGGGGACCGCACCTGCAGACCACACCCTGACCACACTGCAGACTTGCACTGCTCACTGTCGGGGACCCAGGACTACCCCAGCCCTCCCCGTGGCCCTGCGGAGCACGCCCCTGTCCCAAAATCCCCGCTTGCAGGCTCCAGGCTGAACACCCCTGCACACTCGGAGCTCCCACCTCAGGCCATGCCCCGCGGCTTCCCCAGAGTGTGGGTCTCCCCATTCTTGGGGGGCTTCCTTGTTGCCCACAGCTCAGTGTTACAACTCCAAGAGGGGCCGCAGGGCCTCCTCTGCCCCTTCTAAGATCTGTTTCCGTCACTAAAACCCAGGTTCCATGGAGGTAGGTGGCATGCCTGTCTGGGCATGACAGTGACCCCGTGAACACACAGACGCAACCTCCTGAGCAAGAGGCGTTGCTGCTGGAAGACGCGTGACCATCACCATCCCCACACACGGTGACCTCTGACCTCCTCACTGTCGCCGTCCCCACACACGTAATTGTTCAAAACAGGCCACCAACCTAAACACAAAAGCTAGAACTATAAGCTCCTACAAGGAAATAAAAAAATTTATAATTTTGAAGATATTCAGATAGAATACCAAAAACACAAAGCAAAAAAGAAAAGGAAAAACTGGACAAAATAAAAAAGGTGCATGCTTCAAAAAACATAAGAAAATCAAAGTCACGGACTGAGAAAAATACTTACAACATGATATCTAACCAAGAAATTAGTACACAAAGTACACAAATATTGCCTGCAACTCACTATTAAGACGACAAAGACCCTATTTTTAAAAATGCACATAGGATGCCCACGCCAAAGACACAGACCGCCGCCCAGCAGGCCACTGACGCTCAGCTCTCCTGCTCGGAGAAGCCCGAGTGAGAGCCGGGGGAGATCCTCACGCTCGAGGTCCGTCGTTTCGTGACGAGAAACCCGAGGCAGTTCCCGGGGGAACAACCTTCTCAACAGCTGGTGCCGACGAAGCTGATGCCAACAGGAAACCGCACACAACACTCGCCCAGATGGACCCAACGCCTAAGCACAGGGCTAGAACTATACAGCTTCTGGGGAAAAATATGGCAGTGAACCTTGTGATCTTGGATTTGGTGATGGTTTCTCAAATGACGCCAAAAGCACAAGAAACGGACCAAAAGTAAACTGAACTCCATCAAAACAGAAACCTTTTCGATCCAAAGGACACGTAAGTAGGTGTGAAGAATCTCCAGAACAGGAGACAAGCTGGCAGACTACATACATGACGTGGCTACACGTGTGGCAGCCACACGATGGGGACACAGAACACCCCCACGTGGTGTATATACATGGCACAGCCACACGGTGGATGCACACGACACAGCCACATGGTAGAGGCACGCGGCACGCCCCTGGTGGATACACGTGACACAGCCACATGATGGGATACCATTCGATCATAAAAGGGGATTCGGACACATGCTTCAGCGTGGACAGACCCTGAAAACACGGTGCTGAGAGAAGGAGCCCACACACGTGCTATGTGACCCCGTTTCTGTGATGTGTCCAGAAGAGGCCGATCTGGAGACATCATGGATCCGTGGCTGCCTGGGACGGTGGGGCGCGGAGGGCGGCGTGAGAGGCCCAGGGCTTCTGTCTGGGGTGAAGACAAGGGTGTAACCGGACTTTGGGCACGGCTGCACCACTGAGAACACACTGGAAACCGCCAACTATGCACTGTAAACCGGCGAATGGCATGGTGTCTGCGTTACATCTCAAAATATGCTAAAAAAAAAAAAAAAAAGAGAGAAGAGGAGGAAGAAGAAGAAGAGCAGGAGCTTCCACTGCATCACGCACAGGACTGGCCGGGACCAGTTCAGGGCTGGCGAGGACGCAGACAGCACTGGTGGGAACGGAACAGGACGGCCACCAGGGAAAGACATCCAAGTGTGCAGGGCGCGGCTCTCCTCATCACGGCCCGATCTGAGGACGACCTGCGCGTCCCTCGACAGGGCAGGGGGTAGACCCACCGCGGGTGCCCGGAGAGCAGGGCAGCGGCGCTCAGCTGTGAAAGGGGAGTGAAACTGGAGACGCGTATGGACACACAAGAAACAACACGGGTCCACCTCGGAGACGTCACGCTCCACGGAAGGGGCCAGGCCTGAGACGGCACAGGCTAGAGGACCCCCGGGATGTGAGACCGGAACAGGGGAGGTGGACCTGTCCCGTCCGGGCACCGGGTCCGCCGTGCTCTCCAAGGACAGGCCGCGCCCAGACTCCATCGTCCTCGGGTGGACCTGGGACCTCCGCAGGGAACAAACAGGTGGCTAGAGTGTCACCCCGTGCGCGCACGTCACTGGGGCTGCACGTGCCCAGGGAAGCCACGTTCCCGGGCGCCCGGTCAAAACCCACTGAGGAGACAAAGAGCTCGCCGGTGGATGTCCACGATTCCTCGGAGATGGGACACAGCCACATCACCCCGCCTAGTGGTTAAGGAGAAAAGGGTCTCAGGAGGCATCTCTAAAGACGAACGACTTCCCCGCCTTCCTTTTCCACGTGCTGCTCCTTCCCAGCCACCGGGAGGCAGCGTGGGTCGCCCTTCCCGCTGGCCAGTCCTGCTGGGGACCGGCCCACGAGCCCCTTCTCCCTCAGGCAGCACTTGCCGCTGCAAGCCAGGGGCCACGACCCCACTCCACTCAGGACAGGCCCCCCACTGACCCGTGGCCAGCACTGTGCCGATGCCACAGCCACCCACGGCCACCACCCGCCCCTGGTCTGCCGAAAGTCCACACAGTACCAGCACGCCCCTCTCTGTGGCAGCCCTGGGGAGGCACCGGCTCCGAGGCCACACTTTTCACGGGAGAGCCTGTGTCACACACCTGCCCCGCCAGCACAGGAGGCACTGAGGGCGGGGCCGCAGAGTCTGAGAGCCGCACTCAGGAGCAGAGGCACAACGGCAACTGCAGCTGGGCGCTGGTGGCGCCCACCCGCTGTGCTGGCCACACGGGTGGCGGCCACAGGCCGAGGGCTCCGCTGCGGCCTGCCCACCTGCCCACCCGTGGCTCCTGTGCTCCACACTGGAGGAGCAGCTGTGTTCGCCCAGGCAGGGCGTGTGCGCAGGCATATGGGGATGACACCCCGGTGAGAGCAGATGGTCCCTGACATGGTTTGCAGGCACCTGCTCTGCAAAAGCCACACTACCTGGTGGGCACCCCCACGCGGCCCGGAGACCCCGCAGCACCACACAGAGGGCGCGAGAGGAACCACCGTGGCCAGCAGGATGTCGGACAACCCCAAACTGGGGGTCCGCGTCACTCCCGCACTCTCCAACGGTGGCCACGCCAACAGGCTGGCCAGGGGCCGACCGCGGGCGCCTGGGCAGGCGTGCTGGGGCGGTGTGGGACTCTGCACCTGCTGGTGAGAAACAGGACGGGTGCCCGGCAGCCGAGTCCTCTGGGGGGCAAATGCCAACCCCTCAGCTGTGCTGCCCACTTAGCTGTAGTTTAGAAAAGGTCTTAAAGGATCCGTTTTTATCAACTTCTCTTAACAGGACGTAGGGGTGACAGTCACGCTGACCTTGACTCCTTTCAGCTTCCTTTCTTCGTTCAGCGCACAACTGTCTAGTCTCCAAAGGAAAGACAGGGTTTGATCAGCTGTTGTACAGCAGTCTGCTGCAGAGGAGAAACTCCCAGAAATAACCCAGCAAGTGGGACTCTGGTGACACCCGGTGGCCTTTCCTAGGTGCACTCACACTTCTGGTGCACACTGCCGGCAATGGTCCAGCGGCGGTGAGCAGGAGAGACTCACCACAAACTTGGCTCTTACCTCGAAGTCCTGGTGGAGAAAGGTCAAGCTCACTAACAAAAAACCAAGGAAGTGGAGATAAAGTCACCTTTATTTCTCCGCCTACAAGTGGGGAGAGAAAGATGGCTCACGGAATGCGGGACGGCTGTGGAGTCAGGCGCTGTCACACGCTGTCTCCAGGACAGCCTGACGGCATCTGCCACAGAGCCAGAGACTTGGGCCCTCTCCCTGCACAAGCTTCTGGAATCAACCCTAAAGAGGGCTTGTCTCTGCCAGGGAGCGATGCAGACGAACACTCCGGTCGCCGTAAAGAGGAAGAAAAACGGAAAACTTCAGACTGATCAGCAGCACATCAGTCCCGTAATTGCCGGGCATCTGTCACCAGAGTCCACGAATGTTTAGAACAATGAGATTCGTCTCAGTGTACAAACAATGGAGGTGTCTTCCCAGACACCGCTAACTGGAACAGGGTGCATTCCATGAGAAACCCACTTACTACCACGGGTTTACACAAGATGCAAACATAGAAATGCACTGTACACG